TCTTCATAATTACCAAAACCCTTTTCTATGCTTTTCTCTCTCTTTCTTTTTTTCTTCTACTGCAAATTCCCATGCAACAAACACCCCCCACTTCCCACAAATCTCTTGGGCATCACACTTCTGATCTTATTTAAACATAATACCATATGCATGCATGTTCTCTTCCACTGCTTAAGGCTATAAAGCCCATTTTTCATTAATTGGAATCAGATGTCAACTTCAAAGGAAATTTTACTAGTGGAGAGGGAAATGATGAGTTCCATAACCAAAAAAGATCAGCAGCAATTACAATAACTTGGATTGCTCTACTCTCGCAATTACCAATTTTCTCTAAGAAGAAGAAACTCCAGAACAGGAACAATCCCATTGTGTAGTCTTTTGAGACTTCAATCTACCAATTTTGTTCATGTCAAACAACTCCAGGCAACTAAAATATTGCAACACCAGGACAATTGGTTCCTTCATCTGATTTATTCATTAGGTAATCTGGATTCAAAATATAAGGGTCTTGTTCTCTTTGCAATCTAATTTAATCATGGAGTTTTTGACCAAATGAAAGACAGAATTCCAAATGGATTTAATTATCATGCATTTTTAAATTAAAATAACATTGATTATATTACACAGCTCAAAGATTCACAGTCTGCAATTATTCATATTCCATAAACTCATGGATTACTCACAATGTCAAAGTACTGATTGCGACAGAAAGCCTCTTCCATGAATATGCCTTCATTTACCACTATCTTGAGATTGCTGGTGGGGCCAAATTTCTTTAAAATAGTGCTAACCATGTTTCATACAGCTGATGGTTTTAGCATATCTGAATTGACTCCCAAATATTTTTCCAACACGTTCTTGAATGCCTGCACCAGGAAACAATGCATATGTACGACAATCCTTGAGTTTGGCGTGCATGGTATAATGTACAATATAATGTACAACATAATTGTTCCCCAAAACTAAAACCATCCTTTGGCCTTAGGCAATCTGGATAATCCAAATTATCCCAATTTTCTGAAAACAGAATATACGTTAATTCATTGATCGTCTACCTTGGAAGATTGAACTGACAAAATCAACATTGACGTATCCAGATACATAAAATGCATATATACTCATTGAAGAGGTGGGTTGGCAGTCATAATGATGATCACATAACAATACTGACATTTCTCTTTTTATGGTAACTTTTGGATCAAGAAACTATATCACAAATTTAACTTGTTGGGTATATGTTTTTTGTTAAAAGAAAAAATAAATCTACAGGTGTTAGGATTATGCCCGGAAAAAACATCTAAGACGAGGGATGACAAGGTAAAAAGCCAACCAGATTAAGTTTTACCAGAAAGAAGTTGATGCTGTCCGCCTATAAAATGAATGAATGATGAACCCTGGCAATTTATGATTTGAAGTTTTCTTTTTATGTAAAGAGTATTATTAGACATGCATATATATATATATAGAGAGAGAGAGAGAGAATGCATCATTTTTGGGATTAATTGTCCACCAAAAAAGAGAAAGAAAGGCTTGGAAAACAGCGTACTCAAGAAAGACTGAAGACCATGTTATTTGCAAATACGCATAGTGCAACTCTTTGATTGTTTTCTGCGCCTGGCCTACGAGATGAAATATGACCATGTGCAACCTTCATAAGCAAACTAAATTATCACAACCCCCCCATCAAATGAAAGCTTGTGGATTACAACCATTGGACTTTGAAAGAAAGAAAGGCCAGGAAAACAGCATACTCAAGAAAGACTGAAGACCATGTTATTTGAAAATACATGTAGTCCAACTCTTTGATTGTTTTCTGTGCTGGCTACTAGATGAAATATGACCATGTGCGATCTTCATAAGCAAATTCTATTTGAAGAAGATAAAAATGACTTTATAAGAAAATCCAATTGGTACTGGAACAATGCACTCCAAGTTCCATAAAAAATGAAAGAAATTAGAATGTATCATCCCAATTCTCCTTCAAATTCTCAATGGGTCAATTTTTATCATTTTGTATGGAATTTGAACTTTTTCCTAATTAAACTATATTTGAATTTTCACAAATGGATTCTACAAAAATTCTTCATTTATTTCAAACCTAGAGTTAATCTTTAAAAAACGATTGACATGCTACATTTTCCTTGAAACACTATTAAATCAAATTCACACAATATTCTCTTTTCAATAACCCTTTCCCTCAGCCCTCCTATTCAAGTGGGGAAAGGGAGAAAAAGATTTAGGAAAAAAAGAAAGAATTGCAGGATGCTTACATAAAAAGTTCATGCTCCCAAGCCACCTAAGGTAGACACACAGAAAACATTTTAATAGAAATATATAATTCTTTAAATAATAATATATCTCGGTAACAAGACAATATGACACATAGCAAGCTCCATACAATGTTATTCAAGATCATAGCACTACCTGATGTGCAAATGATTCTTTCCCAGTTAGAATCGCATCCATAGCAGCAAATTGGTCATCAAATGCACCATAAAAGGCCTGATAAAAGTTGTTCCTGAAAAGATAAACGATTAATAAAATGAAGTTTAAAAGAAATCAGTATGTAATCTTCTGTGATAAAGAACAATTCAAAAGTCACTGCAAGAGAAGCCTATACCGATCTTCTTCACTCGTCTGTTGATCAATCCCATCAAACTTCTGAGTAAGAACTTCGGCCCCCACTGGGGAGAGCATGTGGAGTATTAAAGCCTCTAGCGTTCTGGGGAAATTGTGCTGAAAAAGAGATGTGTACATAAATATAGGGAATGCTCCTTATAAAGGAAAAAAACATAATTTACCAACAACGGGTATAAGGAGCCGCCTCAAAACAATTAAAGGGATCTATCTTCAGATCCCCAATCCAATTGGCGGTTCATTCAAGTAATCAAATACCATGAACATATCCACAGGTTAAAGCGTCCACTTTCTGCTTCAGCAGGTACTTACCTGACCATGATGAACATCAAACTAAAGCAGGAAGATGCAGTGGATACATGCCATAAATGCAGATCAAGAAAAAATTTAAAATAAAAGGCCTAATTAAGAGTAGAGCAAGAGTCTTTTGATCACCATAACTAGTATCACAATTGGAATTATAATTAATCATAAACTGGAAAAAAGAAAAAAAGGAAAAAGAAACTACCCCAGTTTCAAATAAATCTAATGAATAAGCTAGTAAGATATACAATTGGATAGAAACTCACCGCTAATGTAAGAAGGATCTTTTGAAGTGTACACGGATCAATTTTCCAAAGAATTTGGGCAACTGGGTCATCCTCCAACTGAAACATTTTAGTTCTTGAGATCCGATTGTTATCACTGTTTCTACCAAGTGAAGAACTTTTTGCTGAAGAGCACTGCACAGGCTGACTTGGATCAACAACATTAACACATTCATGGACTAAAGAAACAAGTTCATGAAGGGCCTGAAGGGCACCAGGTTCCAGTTCATGCAACAGAATCCTCTGCTGTGGTTCTTTCTTTTTCAACTGCTTTCTACCACTTGCCTGGTTCAAATCATGCTCAATAGTCTGATAATATAGAAAGTAAGTGAACTCAGCAAACTTTAGATTCTAGCATAAAGATAAGCAATCTAATTCTTTAACAGATAAAAGCAGAAGGCTACCATGTGACCTGCTTCTCCGTTCTGGGGTAGCTCATGTTTATGCCCCTTTAGACTTTTCACAACAGCAGAACCAGCCTTGGGCAGTACCAAGTTCTATCCTAATTAAAATTAACATGTAACTTAATAAGTTGAAATAGAATCTTTCATCTCTGGGAGAATAGGGAGAGAGAAAGAGAGAAAGAGAGAGAGAGAGAGAGAGAGAGAGAGAGAGATGGAGTGAATGAATTATGAATCAAGACAAACAAAAGAGACAAGACAAAGTAGTAACATATTCGTCAAAAAAGTGATGCTTGATAAAGATATCTGTTAATTTCGGGATGAGCTTTGCTCAAGGATCAATCTAAATTGTTAGAAAAAACCAACCATTACTGGGTATTGGACAACCAAGAATGATCAAAATTATATGCAGTAAAATAACAAATCCAGGCGGTATACATACCATTTCTTTATCTGTCAATCTTAACATTCAAGGTTGATTTACCAGCAAAACAAATGGAAAAAGGATGTAAGTCAACTTACAAAATAATAATAGCAACTGGCAAAATTGGAAACTTCTGCAGCTAAGAGGAAAATGAAAGACTAATTTTCTCCAAAGAAAAAAGATTGAACTATAACACCTTCTTAATATTCTGCGCAAATAGTAGGCATCCATGTGATCTGACAAGCTGGTTGTTATGTAGGATTGCCACCAAAAGTTTACTGCAATGGTCATATCATCACTATCTACTTGATGAAACCTGCATCAATTCACAACAACTATCATCTCACCTTATGATGTGTGACAAGGTTGCCTTTTTGTACTTTCTAAAAAAAGAGAACAAAATTTATATTCATGTTGAATAAATTTCTTCACCAGCTAATTAGTATGAAACAAACAGATAGTGCAGGCAAATGACATTTTGGCATAAAAAGGGCAGAGTTCTGGATCCACCTTTACTTCATTTCGTCACCAAAAGAAACAAATGCTCAAAATTAGCATTTTTTCCTCAAGTATTTTTTTTTTTCCCCATCATATGGACAATATCATCTAGATGTTGAGAATTTTGGTAAAAAGAAGCACAGAGTTCTGTTTCCACCTTCAATTCACTAATCACCAAGAGAAGCCCAAGCTCAAAATTAGTATTTTCCTAAAGTATTTTTCCTCCCATCTTATGGACAATGTCATCTAGATGTGCCAACAGGAGACATCTAGATGTTCTACATTTCAACTTAATTTAGACCAAGTTAAGAGATAGATGAGATATCTCATTAATCATTCCATTTAATGATTACAGGAAAAGAAAAACTATACTGATTTCAAAAGAGACAAACATCATGCTGTAAGGCTTACAGAAATATTACATAAAAAATAAAGCTCGAGCTTCAAGGAGAACCTTGCATGAACAAGAGAGCTTAATCTTACCAGCCTTCAGGGATGAAAAGTGCATCACCTGCATGAAGAATAATCTTCTGCGAGCATTCCATGGAATGTGCTGCCCTTGGGTAAATTGAAAAATCAGGGTTTTCTAGAGCAACAGAACTGCAAAAGTAAACACATAATGTTCTAGACACTTTCATGTATTTAATCAACAAAAAGGATATATTATAATACTCTTAACCAGAAGGAGAAGAACAAAATATCATATAGAAGTTTCATACCTATGATTCGAGGCCTCTCCATGCAGAGGCATTGGGTATAACATGGGGCTTGCAGAAGGAGGCCATAAAACAACTGCAAATGGCTGAAAATATTAAAGAAACAAAAACATGGCTCTGACATCTATTATATAAGAAAACAACACATCTTCAAGTTAAAACCTAAATTTGAAAAGTAGTGAGTGAGGAGAACAATCGTGTGTTTCATAGACACATTTGACTATTTCAAAATAGCAAACTGTGAATTGGCTTCAATTTTCAGAACCTTAGCTCAGTGGCCTCGACAAATAGGAGTCATGCTCAAAGCAAAATCCCATCACCTGATTTCTTATTCCCGCCAAACATACTGATTTATCCATCAAATCCATTCAGGTTGAGGCATCAGACGATATTACTGAAGGAGTTCAATTTCATACCACGCCGAACAGTACTTACAGGGATTAAATTAGTGATTTGTTGTAGATGCACACATTGAGTACAGCTATGTCACTTGACATTTGTGTGACTTACTTTCAGAGTTTGCACACAAGTATTCATCTGTTTCTACACGTGATGTGACAGCTTTAATTTATTTTTTGCAGTTTTGAGGAAGTATCAGGTTTGCCCTATGTTAAGAATCCCGGGTTGAGTGATCTAGTTATCAATCTAGATACAGGGTAGTCTAAAAGAAGACTATAATTTCGAAGCTTTTCTGTAAATTTTACCTATTTTGACAGCAAGAGCTCATTAGAAAAACACTCCAGCTTCAGGGATAAGTAGGTCGTTCTGCTGTGTGCGTGGTTCTCTTTGCTGGTGAGTGATGATATAAAATTCTTGAGAAAAGAAATGGAAAGCAACCAGAAGTTGTATTACAAGGGAAGTTATAATCTCGATTCATGACCCTAAGGCATGAATCACAATTATGGCCTTATTACAAGCTACGATTCTGATCCAGCAAACCAAAGATACTAATAGAGTTGGCTAATGTAATAAACATTTTATTACAACATTATTATATGCCCACTAAGCGAACCAACAGGCTGTAATTTCATTATGCACTGTGTATGAAACACATGAGCTTCAACAGGCAATAAAAACAAACATTACATTACAACATTATTACATGCCCTCCAAGTGAACCAACCAGGCTCTAATTTCATTATGCTGCTAGGTATAAAACATGAGAGCTTCAACATGCAATAAAAATGAAACCCTTGCACTTTCTCAAGGAAAAATCCTGCAAACACTAGCTAGAAGAACCAATAGCACCAAGATACGTAAACACAAAATCAGTTGAGAGCTTACAGAGTGGAAGTTAGAAAAGATAACTCAAAAATTACAAAAGGTAAGATAGGATGCATAAGCTCACCTTGTTTGCAGCCAGTGACTATACATAGAAGATTATGGTGTGGATCGTAGTGAGTGCTTGATCTAGCTTGAGCACTGTTCATCCACAGGTTAATAGAAGACAGTTTCTTTGCCTCCAAAAACTTAGGCTGCATGAATGGAAAAAAAATCATTAAAACTACAAGAATAGGTTAAGGGTCCTATGATTGAGAGCTATGTACTAGACAGCTAAAAATTGTAAAAGGAAATGTACAAACTGTTTGAATGTCTTCATTCAGAAGTTCCAGTTGAAGCTTCTCTTCATTCTCACTGTTCATCATCGGAACCTGATTTGCAGATATTTAGATTTCATCTTAATTTTGTAAGATCATTTTAAAAGTAAATGGAATAAAATACCAAGAGTACACCAAGACACTAAATACTTTTGCCTAAGCAGCACTGGAAGGAAAAACTCATATGCTTAAGGGAAAATAGAAGAGAAAACGTCAAGCATAATCTGCAACCTGGGCTAAATAGATCTGTTGTGGAGCAGCCTCCCCAGGAAGCAAGCATGTTTTGTCCATGTTAGATGCTGTCACCTGATGTCCTTCTAGTTCAAATTTGACACCACCACCATCATCTTCCTCCTCCATGTGTCGCTTGCAAAATTGGATAAATGCTGAAAATTGTAACGGTACCTAAGAAAGTAGGGAAAGTGAATCAGTACTGTTCAAGGAATTCTATTTGATCAATTGCCATATTAGAAATATTCTAATATTGTACAATTGGACTTATTTTGGCTAAGATTTAATTTGGAACAAATGAATTATTTTGGTGAAAGTAACTTTGTGAGATGATTTCAATTTTTAACAAATTCTAAATTGTTTTGTTAAGATAAAAATAAATAAATGAACCAACTTTTTTTAAAAAATGATGATAGTTTCCATACTACAACAATTTTTATAAGATTTGATGTTGAGGGAAAATGAGATTAATTTTGCTAGAATTTGATGTAGAGAGAAAATAAGTATTTCTAGAAATAGGGATCTAACTTCAAATCTAGGCCATAAATTATTGTTTACCCAGAAATTAGTGAATATTCTCCTATATGGTTATGTTATGTATCACTCTGGTCTGCTTGTTTATAAGAACGGAGCCCACAACAGGCTACAGCAAAGCATTGCCAATTTACTAAATGGGCCTGTATTGCACACCAGCAGAAAATGGGGCATGCAGCACATTCCTGTGGCTGTTTGCCATATCTTAATTTTTTTCTGTAAATTTTTATAACTAAAACAAAGAATATATATTACTTAAATTATTAATACATTACTAGTAACTAAAAAATAAAAGTCTAATATATTTCAGAATTACTTTTAACCATATGCTTATGATCCCCCCCATGACCTACAACATAGGAATCCATACCCAGTACAAAGGATCATAACTGCCTCCATGAGACTGGCAGATCCCATATACAAGCTCAACATAAAACTAACAATTTCAAACACAAAAGGACAAATTCAAACATAAAAAATGTCCAGAAATATCCATAATATGCACCACAAATACCAAACTGCCAAACTAACATAAGACAATTAGCATAGAGTAACTAACAGTGTTCAGTAAAACTTGGTTTTCTAACAGTGTTTTAAAAACTTGTATGTGTTTGGAAAGCATCTAATAGCTTATAAATCAGACAGCTTATAAGCTCTTGTAACAGTTTTTTTCTTTTAAATAACTTCCAACAGTGGTTTTGAAAGGAATGTCTGTTCCTAAGTTTTTTATAATGCTTATAAACTCTCCAAAAAAAGTTCTGTTGTCGAGTCATTAACAAACCCATAGTCTAAATTTTACCTGTTAATAATTTTAAAAATTCTATTCTTTAAAAAAAAAAAAAATGCTAAAAAAATTATGAATAAAAAGTAAAAATAATAAGTAAAATAAACAAAAATATTTACATTTAGCTTACCAATTAAAATATAAATAAATAATTTCAAACAAAAAAAAATTTACAGCTCAACAAATAAAAATTAGTGAAATTATCCTTCGTTGTCATGACAAAATAGACAGTTCATACTCTATGTTTCACCAAACATATAATTAAAACTAATACAACTTATAAACTCATTTTAATCAATACTTCAACGGCTTATAAATGATGAAAAAGAAAGCTTACAGCTTATACCAAACACATAAATAAACTAATACAGCTTATAATATAGCTTATAAACTCGTTTTAGTTAAACACTTCTTTTTCTTGAAAGAAAAATATCATCTATTCATAAGTACAAGGGAGTCCAACCCATGTACAAAATTTACATGTTAAGTAAAATATTTATAAGGTCTCCATGATTCTCACAAGGATAAAGAGGGATGATCCTTAATAAAAAAACTAAAAATCTGGAACCAACTATTTCTAAATTTATCAAAATTAGATTCAATCCTCTGAGAACCTCTCATATTGCTTTCCTTCCAGATAACTCAAAATCGTAGTGAAAGGAATAAGACTCGTGGACCTCTTATCACTAACGGCCCCATCCTATGGCCAAATCTCATCTCTCACAGAATGAGCCATCACCCAATTGATATCTAATAGACCATGGGCTAAGATCCACTACTTGTAGGCAAGAAGACACCACAACAGGATATAGTTACATAACTCCGCATCTCTCTTGCGCAGATAACAATTGTTTACCAATATTCTTTCCCTCCTAATCAGCTCATCCGAGATTACGATGCACTCCTTAGGAGCCTGCCAGCAAAAAAGGCCACTCTGGACTGCACCTTAACCTTCCAGATCAGCTTTGGAGGCAACTCCATGATAATTTCAATCTTCTTAGGCAAGTGCAAATAAAAGGTTTTGACTGTAAAAAGCCCTTTGGAGCTAAGCCTCCAAAATAAAAGATTCCTCTTTGCAAACTATGGAAGATTATGGGTATCTTGTAGATATCCTGATTAAATTGTAAAGAACTTTGTATATGGGTTGGCACCCCATTAGTGTTTTGTAATGAATGATGCATATTATTTCAAAAAAAAAAAGAGTCATCGCCCTCAATAGGAGTACATTTGGATAAAACCATCAAACAACTGAACAACTTATTTATAAAAAAAATATATATATATATATCAGCTTATACTATTGGAAAGCTTATAAGTTATACAGCTATATTAGCTCTTAGAGGTTTCCCTATCCTAATAACCTGACCAAATCCATAAAATAAGCTAAGCCAAACACCTTCTTAGTAATTAAACTAATCATGCTTCCTTTTTTCCCATTAGTAGACCTCCTATAGACCTTGACATTGAATGGATTACTTGTTTCTTTCATGCTATTAACATTTGCAACATCCACTTAAAACTTATTTGGAAATTAATTTTCAAACTTTCAGACTTCTGTCATAATATAAGTAAATTGAAAACTAATAAAACTGAACCACTTCCTAATTAAATTTAACAAAAAGAATTCTATCATGAATTAAATCCTATCAAAGTATGTGTAGAAAAATAGAATTACCCTTTCGTGGCTTCTAAGATCACCATAAAAGACTGGTGCAGACCTTGATAGCATCACCTCCACAATGGATGTTCCTACGCGTGCCTTAAACATGTACACAAACATAAACTTTTATTCAATCAAAATATATGTCCGGAATTATTAAAATAAAAAACACGCAAAGTAACTACTGAAAACATGTATGGCAGCGATAGCATGTTTGCAAGTAAGAAGGTGTGTTTATAAAGAAAAATCATATTTCTAGAAAATTATAATGAAAATATTGTATTATTCCTTTAAAACTTATCTCCATTTTTAGCACTATTTCTTAAACATTATTTTGTCTTTCAACTAGTTTATAGTTTTTGTTTTGATGTATTAGAATTTTGAAAATAGAAGCTACAACGTATTTTCAGCTCCAGATCATACGCACAACAAAAGTACTGTAAGTTATAATCACAAGATATTCAACTGTAAGTTATCAATATAACAAACATGCATACTGATATTAATCCTCTTTTCATAAACACTATATGGAGTTAAACTTGCTTTCTTTCTTTTTTGTTCAAATGAACACCAGCATCATTTGTCAAAGTAAAAAAGCACAGATTCCTGATTTGTGTTTTGGAAATGAACAATAAAAACTTCCAAGAGAAATGAAAAGAATGTAAACAGAGGCAATTAAGCGGTAGAAGAAATACCTCCAAATAGTCGAGGCCGCCATTAGAAGGATTCCACTTGGAACACGCTTCCCAATCTTTAACACATCCGCTAAACACCTTCAGAATCAAATAACATGAAAATAGAAAGAAAAAAAATGCGTTTAAAATTCTTAGAACCGCTCAGTTATCTCTTGTAACCAAACATATACAAATAAAGAAAAGTAAATTTACAGCCGGAACGTTTTTGGACTCAACGAGAGACTCGAAATCGGAGGCAGAAGGAAGATCCTCAAATCTTCGGATTTGCAGAGACTCCTCTTGCATTTTCAGTAGGTCTTACTCTTCCGTCGTCGGATGACCAAGCTCCAAACAAAAATCGGGCGGGGATTTTAGGTAATTGAGGATTTAAAGGTTTATATACTCCTCTCGGCTCCGTTTCAGTTGGTACCAGGCAGATTTTCAGAGATAATGAGGTTTAATGGGCTGATTGGGAATAGAACACCTTAGCGTGATTAAGATGCAAAATTCTTAAAGGCCCAATTTCCAGCCTGTAATTTTTTAAGGATAAATTAATTTTGAAATTTGAAAATAATTAACACTAAATCTCGTGGTGTAGAAAAAAACGGCTTAATTATTATATAAAAATAAAATTTTATTTTCTTAAAAAAATATGAAATAACAAAATAAAAATTAAATCTTTAATCATTTAATTTATTTTTTATTAGTTTTTTAAATCAGTTATTTATTAAAAAAAATAAAAAATTAATATATTAATTATAGTAAGATTTTATTTTATTTATTAATTTTTTTCAAAAGAAAAAAGTAAAGGAGAGTGCTTGAAAAAAGTCAATCAAATGCGTTCCAAAAAGTCAATAAAACGGAAATAAATTAAAAATTAAAAATTAAAATTAAAATTCAATTTTTTAAAAAAAAAAAAATTTGATTTAGTTTCCTTTCTAATGGGGAACTCCCGCGCCGTCTCACGTTCAAATTAAAAACCAAATCCAACGGTGGGGACCACCTTTACGCGCTTTCCAATTCTGGGGTCTCAACTTTTTTATTTTTTTATTACATGTTGCATGACGAAATTAATTTATTTTAATTAATTATTCTTTAAAGTGCTTTAATCGGAGTTGATTATATATTTTTTATGTAATTTATTAAAAAATTAATTATATTATTAATAGTGTTAGTATATTATATAATTATTAAATATATAAATTTCTATTAAAAAATTTAAATTCATTTAAAATTAAATTGACTTAAATTATTTACATAATTAAATAATCTTTTTATTTAAAATCTAACATAAGGGAAGATTTTAATTTATTTGAATTTGATTATTACACAACTTCTACATTTTTTATTATATATAATAACATTTTTGTAACCTAAATTCACTTACTTTTATATTTATAAATATATATGATTATATTGAATCAAATTTATAGTATTAAAATATTATAATTTAAACGTGTAGAATAAGAAAGTTGTTCAATAGTTGCAAGTTTCATTATATTATGCATTGAATTTTCCTTGTTTTAGATGGATAATATTCATGATAGTGACCTAATGATATATGACCAAACCAACTATGTTAATAAGAAAAAAATAATAATAATAATGTTAGATTATTAACTACATTTTGGCACTAATATTTTAGATTAAGTTTATGATTTCGGATCAACTACTGATCATCATCTTAGTAAATTATTGTCTTATCAACTAGTTAATCAGACGCGAGTCAAATTATTAAATACGGATCGAATGGTGTATTTTTATTAAAAAAATATTATAATTTATGTATATATATTATTAATCAATGAAATGTATATAATTTAATTATATAAAGGTTTGTGTGAAATTTTGATAATTGTGTAATTTAGTAAACTAGCATTTTTAATCTAATAACTCAAGACCCAAACTCAATAAAGAAAAAAATATGTTGGCCTCTCCTATCTAGTTTGTAGACTTGACTATATAATTATTTTTTGTTAAATATTATAATTATAGTATTTTTCTAATAATTATTTTTTAATTTAAGCAGTAGTTACAATTTAAACGAAGACATTGTAATTAGTATTAAAATGTAAATGGTTCAATTAAACTTTTAGAATAAATTTTATTTATTTTTTATGTTAATAGTAATATTAAGGTCAATTTTAATTCAAATATACTCTTATAACAATTTAATACGTCCAATATGTTATTTCCATAATGCTATATTAACAGACATCAAACTTTTCTTATTAAGTAGATAATATATTTATCATTAATAAATATCATAGTGATTATGGTATTTACTTTATATTAAAAAATTATAAATTTAAATATTATTAAAAATTTAAGTTTATCATTTTATTTACGTATTATGAGCAGATGAGATATAATTTAAATATTTTATTTGGCAATACTTAAATTTTAACTTATTAATGTGTTTATAAAATTGTGCTAATCAAGTTAGAATTTTCCAATTGAACTACAATGTATTTGGACGAGAAAAAAAAATTATTAGTTTGATTTGATCGGTATAGTAATAATTAATTAAAAAAACTCTACATATTTTTTCATATTTTTCTTATATACACATATAACATATTTTTTAATCAATTAAAGTATTTTTTGTTATCATCAATATAACTGTTTAATAGTTAAAATTATTATACTATACTTAAAATTTATGAGTTTGAACATCACTTGAGAATATAAAACCATATATACAACTGTTTAATAGTTAATACTATTGTATTATAGTTAAATGTTATAAGTTGAAACATAATTTATAACGCGAAATTTGATACTTTTTGGTTAAAGCAAATAAACAATTAATTCAACAGCGGTTACTGACTTAAATTATTGATTTATTAACGAAACTGAAAAAATAAATACGGCTTTATTCAAACCAATCACAATATTTTAAAATAAAATGATCATAATGTAACGACTACGTTCCTATAATTGAAATAATGATAACAAAATAAAAATACATAATTTTACTCGTTAAACATTTAAAACAAAACTAAATTTTGTTAACAATATAATTTCATTTAAAATTTTGTGTCCAATAATTGTGATGATCTTTTTTATTTTTATCAATTTGGATTTTATTGAAATTTAAGAAAGACCAATTTTGTTTTGCTTTGTTTCTTTCACAAACATGGAAATTACTTATGCTTGCTCTCACCTTCAATTAGGTAATAGGTCAAATTCCCTTCACCTACTATGCTTTATAAAGTATTTGACAATATTTGATTCACCGCATAATTTTTTAGAAATTTAAGCGACTATTTGAAATTATTTAAACTCATATTATGAATTTTAAAAATACTATTAAAATATTTATTTATAAAAATAATTTTTAATCACATGTTATTACGTATAAAAAAACCAATGTCACTTTCAAAAATATAAAATTTGCGATAAAAATGCCTTTTAGGATTTGAAGCGTAAAAAATTATTTTAAAAATTTACATATTATTATTTTTTTGTAACGGTCTCAGAATTTAAATGAAAATGTATGTATTAAAAATCTTAAATGCGGAAGCGTAAAAAAATTTTGATTAACATCCCTTACACAATAACAAAAAACGTACTCAAAATATGAAAGAATAAGCTAATTAAAAGATATACTCGAAATAAAAACTATAAATACAACTATAAAGTCTTTAGGCGTATAACTCGCCGTCTTCTTGCGGAGCGGGCTCGGGAACCCCGTCTTCCTGATATGAAATAGTTAAGTAAGGAATGGGCTACACTAATCCAGTAAAGATATCACACTATCTCACTGCCACAGGAGTAAAGGTCGGTAGAAAATAAAAACAACAAATTGAGCATAATTTATAACAAACTCATTTGTTAACATAAAAACATTTATTGTCCACTTACCTCGGTGAGATTCATGAAAATAACATATGAAAATAATAACATTATAACCATAATAAAATCATATCGACTTTGTAATAGAACACATGTTATACTTATGTACTTCAATAATCATACAATAAATTTCTTTTTTTACCAGCCTACTAGTATCCATGGGGATCCATAGGGGGTCCCCTGTAGCGCCCGGAAAGGAGGAGGAAAGAGAAAAAAAAAAAAAACCACGTCAGCAGTCCCGGCCAACCGGGACCTGCCACGTGGCAAAACCACGTCGTTCCAAAAAGGGCCACGTTGGCGATCCGCGTGGGCGCGATCGGACGGCCCAGATCAAGTGGGCGATCGGACGGCCCAGATTTAAACGCACGGACGGCCCAGATTTAATCAAAAAATGGACGGCCCATATTAAAACAAAATGGACGGCTGAGATCAAAGGGCAAGGGGTTATAAATAGAACCCCCACACCAGACCACAAACCCTAGCCGCCTGCCGCTCGCCGGAGAAGACGAACCAGAAGCCGGCCGCCGCCACCCGCCGCCGCACTGGAGGAACTTCCGACTGCCGATCGAGGTAAATTTCGTACCCCCGACTCGTTTTTCCACGCTGATTCCTCATGTGGCCAAATCGGAGCCAAAATCCTGGCCAAACGGCCGGAATACACGGTCGAAGCCCAGCGGCGCCGCCGCGTCCCTTCTCGATTTTTGCCTCCGATGAGGCCCTTCCCGGCCTCCGTTTGATGCAATTTTTATATCACCGTGATCACCATTCTTTTCTCTATAGGTTGACCGGAGCCGAATCACCAAAACACGAACCTCGCCGGAGAGCCGCCGCACCCGAGAGCGCCGCCGCCGGTAAGCTCCGTTTTTCCGTGATTTTTTTGGCCCCCCGAGGGCCCTAGGGTTGTTTTCTCACAGGGACCGATGCGAGTGTGGCTGAATTCGGCTGAAAACAGCCAACCCGAGGCGACTCGCTGCCGCCAGCGGCGGCGCCGTGCCGGAGTTGCGATTTGGGCCGAAAGGGGCCCTGGGCCTAATTTGGGATTTTTTTTGGAACACGTGCAGGTACCAGTAGTGCGTTTCAGTTCCCCAAGGAAAATTCAGGGAAAATTAGGGACAGCCTGCAAGCGCACTGTGAAGCCGTGTTCGGACCCCGAAACGAGTAAGGACCCCTCACCCTATTTCCTATCACGGTATTAAAGTTCAAAATGATAAAACGGTATTTCTTGAATTAACGAATGTGTGAAATTGCTTAAGGTGGCTAATGGAGCCCGAGTCTAGTGTGATTGGTGATTTACTGTTATTTGGCCTGTTTACAGCTTTAAATGCAAAATGAGGTTTGATGTGTTCATTTTACAGATTTGTGTGCATATACTACGTTTTTATTAATTATGGGTTGAATGACTGAAAAACTGATACTGTATGTTGTCTGTTTGGCATGAATTACGATTTGCTTGTTTAAATGTGAATTGACGATGCTGATTGAGGGAAAGAAGAATGGAAGATTGTATAAATTGATAATTGTGTAATGGGGTCAGCCTGACTAGATATCCTGGGAGATGGTGGACGGACCGGGTCCGTAGGAAACCCTACCGGGATTGTGGTCTCACATGCCGGACGGGGTATGGAGATCTTATGGTTTTGGCGCCCATACCGGACGGGGTATGGGGACGGCCCGTTTCACCCTCATACCGGACGGGGTATTGAGGTTTATGGTTTTTGTGCCCATACCGGACGGGGTATGGGGACGGCCCTGGAAACTGATTATGAATGTTAAAGGTTAACGGGTAGCGGGACCCCTATGGACCCTCACGGATACTAGTAGACTGGTAAATGAGAAAAAGATATGTTGTATAACGATTGAATTACAAGAGGCGTGATAAGTGTTATGTTTTACAGCTTATATTATTCCATGATTATGATAATGTTATTGTTTTTCTTATATTGTTTCATAAATTCCACCGAGGTAAGTGGATGGTAAAGGGTTTTATTACTGATAAATGAGTTTATTGTGAATTATGCTCCATTGGTCTTTTTGTGTTTTCTACCCACCTTTACCTCCGTGACGGTGAGATATCGTGATGTTCTTACTGGGCTAGTGTAGCTCACTCCTTATTTAACCATTTCAGATCAGGAAGACATGGTTCCCGAGCCCGTTCCGCAGGAGGACGACGAAAGGGATGCCTAGAGACTCTGTAGTCATACTCATAGCTTTATTTTCGAGTTTCTCTTTTAGTTAGTTTAATCTTTTATATTTTAAGCACGTTTTTGGTTTTTCGTGTAAGGGATGTTAAATGAAATTTTGATCTCGCTTCCGCATTGGATATATTTAAATACTCATTTCATTTTAATATTTCCGGGGTCGTTACATCCCCGTTACACGTGAACCATTAATATTAATAACCTGATTCCAGGGCCGTCCCCATATCTCGTATAGTATGGGCGCCAAAACCATAAACCTCAATACCCCGTCTGGTATGAGAGTGAAACGGGCCGTCCCCATATCTCGTCCGATATGGGCGCCAAAACATATAAGGTCTCCATACCCCGTCCGGTATGAGAGACCCTGTTCATGGTAGGGTTCCCTACGGACCCGGTCCGTCCACCATCTCTCAGGATATCTAGTCAGGCTGTCCACATTATCAATTTATCAATTCACATAACCTTTTTGCCATTTTCCTTGGTCTCAATTATTCAATCATACACAACATATAAACCAGTAATTAACACAAAACAAGACAACACAGTATCGGGTTTACCATAATACAAATCATAATAAAAGAAACCATGATTCATGCATACGACATCATAAAATAAATACATCAAATATCATACTGCATTTAATACTGAAAAATAGATCAAACAATAACTGACAAACAATGTATCATATTCGGGCTCCATTGGCAACCTCAATCAATTATACATATCTATAAAGTCACAAAATACCGTTTAATTATTTATTAAGCTTTAATGTCGTGATAGGAGGTAGGGTGAGAGATCCTTACTTGTTTCGGAGTTTAAATTGGTTCTACGGTGCGACTA